CCACCTTTTCATTTTTTCATACACGAGGACAACGGAAAGCTTTTAAGAACATGCAATCTTATAATGCAAATCATTAACAAAGAACAATGAAAAAGAGATACTTAACCCCTTCTTGGCATGAATCTAGAATTTAGGATGTCAACTCAACATTAGAAGCTAAAGCAGACTATACTGGACTTCCCTGGCAGTCCAGTGGTTAGGACTCCACACTTCCACCACAGGGGGCATGGGTTTGATCCCTGGTTGGGGAACTAAGATCTTGCATGCCACATGGTGTAGCACACCCTCCCAAAAAAGCTAAAACACATTATAGACATCAGGATATACAGAATGCGTGTTACTATTTTCAATTTGGGAATCTTGTGAGGATATATATGTATCCATACAATGCAAACAATGCTCACAACTCCTCTACCTAACATTAGATAAAGTGATTTATCTAAATCACATTGATTTGTAGATAAACTGTTAAACTTTTTCTCTTTGTCACACAGGAAATTTTATAAATGTTTATCATGTTTTAAAATTGAGCAGGAGAGTGGCACTAATACAAATCACCCTCATCTTCCCTTCTCTAGGCTGTTACTGTTGTTTTGCTTTGGTGGGTTGTTTGGGAGTTAGTTTTGCTGAGGTGTTGGGGTATAAAAAGTGGAACGGCAGAAGGAGCACATCGGAGGACTAATTGCTATAGGATGGTGAGGTGAACTACCTGTAAACAGCTAGTCACAGCTGAGCCTTAGCTTAGCCCAACTTCCCTTTCCTTATCACCACAAATGCAACATCACAATTAAAGGTAATCAAGATTTTTTTTTTTTTACAGAGTACGCTAACAAAATCAGTCACTTGCATGAGGTCATTTGTTATTAGATGGAACAACAAAGCATCAGTTCAGACAGGCCAGCAGCCAGCACAAAGAAAATCCAACTTTGTTCATGCTTTTAGTGTGTTCTTGTAATGGAATGGTCTCTTTACCTGTGTTACCAACCATTATTAATGGGACCGCAGAGCAGAAGAGCGATGTCTTCTGTTCTTTGGAAACTGGCTTCAGAATAGAAGAAAAATAACTTTGTAGAACAGAAAACAAAACTAGGGTGTTTTTTTTCTTGTTTAATCTTGTTTTTTCACAAAACCAAGATTAAAGGCTATGTGAATTTTTAAAATCCCTTTAACCATTTTTAAAGTTTCAAGAACTTAAATGGTTTACTTTCTATAGCTCATGAACTGTCTTTGGTTAATTTGCAATAAAGATATGGTGAACTCTAGGTTGCAATAAATTTGTCATTAAGATATGGTGAACAGGCACTGTGAAAGTGCATTTTCCTTTGTACTTGAATTGAGTCCTTTTTTTTTTTTTCCAAATAAAACTGAGACATTTTAGTAGCTGTTCTGGATGCCCTTAAGCTGAGCTACTCACTGATATCAGTTGTAAAAAATTTCATAGCAGCCAGAAAATCTGGCCAAATATTTGACAAAAACTCAATGTTGAAATGAAGCACACTGGTTGTCACACTTGTTTCAAAAACTTGACTCAAATTTGCTTTCCCAAATAATTAATTTTTTAAACTTGAAAAGATCTTATAGAAGTTTTTTTAAGAAGGAATTTCTCACTTAAAAGGAAATACAGTAACACAAAAACCTGAAAGATAAATGCATAATTTAATGCATAAATTTAAAACTGCAAAGGAACCTAAAAAGGACATATACTGTAATAATTCCAACTATGTGATGTTCTGGAAAAGGCAAAACTAAAGAGACAGTAAGTTTAGTGTTTGCCAGGGGTTGGGGTGGAGGACGAATGAATAAAGGCAGAGCAGAGAGGATTTTAGGGCAGTGAAACTACTCTGTAGAAAGGTAGATAGGTCATTATACATTTGTCCAAACCCACAGAATGTACAATGTCAAGAGCAAATCCTAAACTGTGGTTTTTGGGTGATAATAATGTGTCAGTGTAGGTTCATCGGTTGTAACAAATACACCACTCTGGTAAGGGATTTTGATAGTAGAGGTGGCTGTGTACGTGTGAAGAACAGAGTTTATGGGGATCACTACCTTTTGCTCAATTTTGCTGTGAAATCTAAGACTTTAAAATCAAGTTGATTTTTAAAAAACAAAACTGCAAAGGAAAGAACTAAGTAAGGCTAACATGAATGTCCTAGCTTCATTTAAGTTCACATCACAAGCTATAAAGTCATTTTCTGTCCTGTATATTTGCCCAATCAGAAACATGTATGAACTGATTTGTGTATATACTCTCAGCTTTTCCATTTTGAAGTAGTACCTGGAGTCAAACAAAGGAAGTTATTAAGTTCTTCAGCCAGAATCAGCTAATAATTCAAAAAGTCTCATTCTTTAAGAATAAATTCAAATTATCCTAATTCTATTAAAATCAAAATAAAAGCTTTAAAGAGGCTTGTTTAAAATTTAAATCCAAATGAAAGCATTAAAAATAAACTTTTCTATTTTGAATTAGCAAAAGAAATAAACTTTTCTATTCTGCATTAGAGAAACTCTGTTCGAAGCAGATTCTTTTTCTCTGTATGCTTATAAAAGCCAATTATTTGATACTAAATCTTCACTTGGTAAGGATAGGCTGTGTTCTTACCAAAATCTTAGCAGCTTAATATAATAAAAGTCTTATTTTTTGATCATGTGAAGTCCACTGAGGGTCCACCTGACCTTCCTGGGGTCACTCAGTAATCAAAGACTACTTCGGGACTTTCCATAAAGAATCCACCTGCCAATGCAGGGGACATGGGTTCAATCCCTGGTCCGGGAATATTTCACATACAGCTAAGCTGTGCCACATAACTCCTGGGCCTGCTCTCCAACAAGAGAAGCCACTGTAAGGGAAGCCCACACACGGCAAGGATGAGTAGCGCCTGGCTTGCTGCAACCAGAGAAAGCCTGTGCACAGCAAGGAAGACCCAGCGCAGCCAAAAAACAAGAAACCCATGAAATCCATGGCTAATTCATTTCAATATATGACAAAAACCACTGCAATGATGTAAAGTAATTAGCCTCCAACTAATAAAAATAAATGAAAAAAAAAAAAAGATTACTTTGATCTTGTGGCTTCACCATTTCAAGTGAGGCGTCCTCTACAACACCAGGGCAAAGGCACGGCAGAGGTTTGTCACTGGTCTGCTTTGGGAGTGATGTATACTACTTCCACTCAGATTTAACTGGTTAGAACCAGCCCTTGTTCACCCACATTGGGGTTGGAAAGTATAATTTCTTTATGCCAGGGATTAAAGAAGTACAGATATGGATGACCACTAATAATGTCACCAAAATTCTTATAGCCACGTGAAATCAAGGCTGAATGTAGAATGCTAACTCTTAACTCATCAGATTAAAATAAAAGCTGTATCTGATCCTCTAACAATTCTGGTATAGATTTTGGAGAATCTAGTAAGAAAAACAAATGATTAGCATGCTAATCAAACTAGTTATCTCAAATACCCCGATTTCAGTAAGGTTGACAAATGGCATATGAGTGATAATTGTGTATCTTTTAATTCTTAAAGAACCAGACAAGTATCGTAAGTTAAAATGAAAACCATGTACTTTAGCCACCACGGTAAGCAAGCTATCATTAAAGTGTGAGAGTTTATAACCTGCATTCACAACTCACATCAGCAAAAATGGGAGCAATAGAGAGGTAAGCAGACACAGTTCATTCTATCAGAAAAGAGTTTCAGGTTTTCTCTCATACTCATAAAGACTAACTGAGCCTCCCAATGCTGTGCATGCTATCAAAGAGACAACTTCAGACTGGAAAACGATTAACAGAATGCATAGCTGACCCCTTCACCCACAAATACAGGTAATTTAAGAAAACAGAAAGAGAAACTATCTGTGAGTTAAAGCTAGGGAAAAAATAAATTTCTCACCTTCTTACTTTTCTTACTCCCCACAAAGGTAACAAGCTAACTTCCTGAATAAGGTTAAAACTGACCACATAGGTATGGACAAATGCTTATCAAGTGTGATTTTAATTTCAGTATGACTGATCTACTGGTAATTTCAATGCGTACAATCCTTACTATTGTTTCCAGCCTGAAAGAGCAAGACCACATTTGCTATACTAGCAACTGAAACATATCAGGGGTACATTGAATTACAATATGATTCTTTTATCCAAAAAAACCAAAATAAGAATATGCAGCAAGAATATAATTTAACAAAGTTTTGAGAACATTTACTTCTCAAATACAGGAACGAAAGAGGTGAGGTAATGTATAATTCAACAAAACTTGCTGAATTCAAGGTTTACCTGAAAGATCAAAGAAAAATCAAACAAACATATAAAAAGATAGGACATTTCATTTTTAATCAGTCAAAAAAAAAGAAAAGAGTTCTGGATAAAGTCAAATTCCACACACCGTAATGCTATAGTTACACATTAAATATAATTACTATCTATACATATGCAAAAATATAAAGTTCTATTTCATACAATAAAACCCTTTATAGAAACCATTTTAAAATTAAGCAGAACTTCTCACCATTAATATGTGAGGTATAAGTCCTTCTAAGGTTCCTTTAAAGGTTTAAAACAAAATGCTAAATCTAAAAACAACATCCTTCTGTCAGTTCCCAAGTTAAACCTACTTAAAACAAAAATTGATAGCTTAGTCACATACTACTTAAATAATATTGTTCAGGCATCTCTAAAATCCTCCGTTTTTTTTTTTTTTCAAGTATGGAAACAGAACTCAAATATTTCACAATACAGTACTAAACAGATGGACTGTTTAGGAAAGACTTTTTTGTCATATGGCACAACATTGTTTCATTTCTTCAACACATGTGGAAATAAATATCAGGTTTTTGTTTTACTTTTCTCCTGAAAGGCCAAAACTATAATGTACATTAAGATAATTTTGACTCTGGTAAGACTTAGGAGTGTAAAATATAACATCAATATTTTATCACAAAAGTAAAGCTGGTAACAAACTATAAAAGGAGCCAGTGCTCTACTCGGATACACCCAGGGATCAAAGTTCATCATGATAAAAATATTCATCATGAAGCTGTCTGCCATAATCTGTGGCTTCACTTGTAAGAAACAAGTCCTGGTTCTCCAGAATCTCTTCTTCAGAAAGCTTTCGGTCACTATTCAAATCCATTTCATCAATTAGATGAAGAGCCTTTAAAATAAAACAAAAAGGTATCAGGCGTAATAAGTATTTTTCAGCAAGATGTTCACATTTTAATGGGATCTGATTTGTCAAAATCATTCAGGTATACCAAGTACTCGTTATTGTCTAAGTATCTAAAAGTACTAACTCTCATGCCTGGGTCTGTCTACAGCCATTTCTCACTACCTCCTTTCTTAATTTCTGCTGGGTTCTGTCTCCTCCCAGCTCAAATCCAATTCAGGATATCTCAAAGTCAAGGAAAATTAGTATAACTCATTTTGAGCCCCAGAGGTAAATACAAACTTTCATTATTCTATTGTACTATTCAATTCATACATAATACCATTTTAACTTCCTTGTCTCTTTGACAGTCTAAAACAGATCTTAGATTTAAATCAAGAAATAGCAATGCATTGATCCTAAATAACTCCACTATTTCCTTCTTTGGCTTAAGGTTCTGAATTTCCTTTACTACAACAGCACAAATTTGGGGATGAGAGAATCATTCTGTAATACTTACCTCTTCTTGTGCAATGCCCTGGTTATTGGGTACAACCCAGGACAACAGTTCTTGCGGATCAAGTCTGCCATCAGCATCTCTGTCATAATCATTCATGAATCTATCTTTCTCAACAAGTATCCACTCTGGATCTTCATTTGCGGCTATTAGTATATTCATATTAAAAAAGAACATAAACATGCATACACAAGAATATCACATGTATCCAAAAAGAAGTCTGATATAGCCCCAGATAGAGGAAATGAATTTAAAGCTTACCACATAAAGGAGGCCCAAAGAAACAAAGTGCTTAACTGAAAAGGGCTGAAATAAGTGCAAACTCTGTAGTAATGTTCAAAAGTGATACTCAGAGTTTTAAAATTGCTGCACAGAGGGGTGGGATATGGAGGGAGATGAGATGGAGGTTCAAAAGGGAGGGGACATATGTAAAAGTGTTGCATAAGGACCTCCCTGGCAGACCAGGCATTGGGCCTCTGTGCTTCCACTGCAGGCACCGTGGATTCAATGCCCTGGTGGGGGACCTAGGATCTCACATGCTGTGTGGTGTGGCCAAAAAGAAAAAAAAATCAGCTTTGTTATAAAACTGTTCTGGGATAAAACTCAACTGAAAAAGTGAAAAAACAAACAAACAAACATGAAAGTCTATGTAAAGATCTTAGGGAGAAAAAAAAATTTTTAAGTGTTGCATATTATCACAAACTAGTAATTTTGCTAACTGCTGCTATTTGTTCTGATATTGTTTGCCCAAGTTTGAACTGGGTAATGGTTTTATGAACATCATGTAACTAAATCTTCCCGTGTGTTCTTACAATGTGTGTTCTTACAAAGTAATACCATAGGTAATTTTAAAGTGACATTCACAGTAAGTGACGCTAAGCAAAAATTCTTAAAAGACAGCGGTTTATACAAAAAGCTGCATATAAAAACTCCTTAAATTTCAAACACTCGGTAAGCCACTTTCCACAGTCTTATTCTAGTATTTATAGGATTTTATATATTTTTTTCTTCTAAGATCTACATGCAAAGGTACAGGAGGTCTATTTAAAAATATCAACCTTTACTTCCTCAGCCATCTGAATTGATAATTACATTGTATTTGTTTGAAAACGAAGAAAAATGCTTGGCTCTACATGTCGAACTAAAAGTGAGCAAAACAGCATTCTCAGATAGGCTTTAAGTCCCTTTGTTTCGCTAGTATTTTATTGAACTTGGCAGAGCAAAGAGGTATCAGGCCCAGTTATTCTTCCATTTTCCTCTGTCAAACAGAGTTCTCAATGAGCAAGACTATCTTTCAATTTCTTCCTTTTTCCCCCTTCCTTCCACACATCCCCAGTCTACTCACTCGGGTCCCGCCTGTAGTCACCAAGAAATTCTTCCAAACTAACAAATCCATCACCATTTTTGTCATGTTCTTCTAAAGCCTCTTGAATGACAAATTCCTATTGCATGTAGGTTCACCAAAAAAAAAAAAAAAAATCTGTCACAAAAGTTTCAATCCCATCACCATCTGAATCAATCCTACTATAGAATTAATTATTGAATTATTTCTACTATAATTAACCATACTATAGAAATAATTAACATAATTATTCTTTAGGAATAATTATTTTGTCTATACTTGCCACACAATCTTTTTAAACACTGGAATTTAGAAGTAGGAATAAAACCCCAAATAGCTTAGAATTTAACATCCTTAAGCTTCTGTTACTGAGCACTCTACCTCACCCTCCTGCATAACCTTGGCAATAAACTCACACTTCTATTTTCTGCACATTACTGCCTTCTGAAGAATGATATATCTTATACTACCTTTGTCTTCTTTGATTTCACTTTCCTGCCAATCCATTAACAAGCCAAAAGAACCCTCATCTCAGATGTCTCTGCACAGAACTGCTGCCTGAAATGGGTCAGTACCCTATACAGCTTCAACTCCCTTGCTTCCTCTTCCACCCGTCTACCCTCATCCACCCTAGACTGCCCCCAAATCGGTTCCTGACTCTAAGGCTCCTTACCAACTAAGCTCTTCTGACCCAAAGATCACACCCTTTCTAGTTATGTTTTCCCAAGATGACTTGCTTCAGTGCTTCCCTTACTACATTCCTGCACCCCTTGAACCCTTTTCTTATCATGCCAGTCCTCACGCTACATCAGACCCACATCACTTTCTCCTTCCAGAATCTGAGGAAGATACAAAAATAGAAACCTAATCCTTATAAATTTATTTTTTGCCACTTCTGTGGGCTCTCACTGCAGCTTGGAAGTCTATCTCTGCCTCAGCTTCCCTAACACTCTATGGCTGTTTTTTGACATCTCTATTTCCTCTAAGTCTTAACCGCAACTCTCTCCAACATGCTCTTGGCAAAGACTTCCTGTTTTTCTGAGCATGGCAGAGGTCTTCTGAAATCCTTCCTTGTTTCCCAGCATTCATTCTCATCTTTAACCACCTCTATTTCGATGCCTGTTCCTCTCATCCTTCTCTTTGATCTCAGCAGTTAAAACTCTGCCCCTCTTCTCTAGGACGAAGCCCTCAACTGTCTTCCTAGATCCCATACTTCCCCACTTCTGGAGTGCTCTCTTTTACTCTTAACTCTAGCCTCTCCAACCCTTTCCACTAGCTCCTTCTTCTATGCCTTTAAAAACATTCAGGTTCCCATGACTTTGCTGCACTCTTTAACCACCATCCTGGTCTTTCTTTTCCTCTCAGAGGTTACATCTACTGTTCTCATTTCCTCATTACCTGCAATACGTTTTCAGCCTGAATTCATTTTCAGCCTGAATACGTTTTCAGCCTGGATTCTAGCACCACAACTACAGTGAAATATATTCTCAAAAGTCTCTTATTGTAGTCAAATCCAGTGGCTTTATCTACATCTGTATGAAACAATACTTATGTAGAAGTTGTTGGGTTTTTTTTTTTAAATCAAATATAACAGATTTTCGATACAGAAACCAGGGGATGTTAACCTGGAGACCCAAAGATTAGTTTTGGAGAGAGGATCTGAGAATCTCTTGATTCACAGTATTTTATGTGTATGAACACGGACATATTCAGAACTTTTCAGGGGCAGGGTACACAGCTGGCATCATATTTTTTTTAAAGGAGTCTGTGATCCAATTAAAGAATCAAAGATCAAAATGATTATTCCTTCATTCAAGTAATCCTCTTGGGAAACAAGAGACTTATTTCAAGAATGCTGCCTTGGTTAAAATAATTTTTAAAATTATGTGAATGAAAATGTATTAAAATTCCAACTTTTAATTCAAAGTAGAATCATTTAGTTGATCTTATATCCTGCCCTTTCCTATCCTATATACCCTTAAAGGGGAAAAAAGGAAAAAGGGATCCACAAAGACAATTAAGGTAAACAGAAATTAATGAAGTTGATCTGAATGAGACACCATCTTAGGATCATGCATCTTGTGTGCTGCTATCAACTCCAACTCAACACAAAGACCATCCTTTCCCATCCTGACATATCCCATTCTGCAATGGTACTGCTTTTGTATCATTGTTACTCAAGCTTCCAACCTCAGAGTCATTTCTGATTCTTGCCCTCTTCCCCTCCCATGCTACATCAGTCAACATTCCTGTCTATGCTTTCTTCAAAATGTTGGTCATTCATCAGTTCATTCCATTGCCACTTCATATTCCAGGGCCATACACATAATGCCTAAATTATTTCATTGCTATCACTGGTCAGTTCCCTCCTCAGTCTTCAACTGTTCCTTATTCCCCAGATAATCAAGATCCAACATCCTCTGCCTACCATGCTAGGGCTCAATTATCTGATCTCCACTTAATTCTGGCACTTAAACAAACTGTGCCCAGCACTGTTCTCAAACTAGGTCATGTACTTTGTGGAAAGTAAGAAATCCAAAGCCTCACAATGGCAAGAGAAATGCTACTGATGGTGGTGTCTTGCCACTGAGCTAGAGAGAAAAAGGTTATCTGCAGTCGTGCTATCAAGGCAGCAGCATCCAACCAGGACCCATTAAGCAAAAAGCTACATCTTCCCTCCCTGAAATGTCCAGGGAACCAAGCCACACAGCTTGGGGCTGATGCCAGGCAGCAGACCTCAATGTAAATGTTCAGCCTATTTTTTAAAAGCCATTTCTTATGTTAATGTTTACTCTCTAATATGATAGTTTCTGCTCTCAAGAAGTTTACCAAGTCATAGCAGGGACTTAATCAGTGTTGAATTATACCTAGAACTCAACAAAATTTTGAGGAGCTGGTACTTCTTTTAAGTACTAAAGGGATGAGAGGACTCATTATGCCTAAAGCTGCAAAAACATTACTAGTCATTAGCAGTTGCATCCCCCCACCTCATCCCACCCCCATACCCTATGAAAAGGGGTCTAAATGTGATAGTGTTCCCAAACCAAAAGTTTTCACAAGTAACCTTGTAAACTAAACAGGAAGTTCTAGTGTTACTAATATTGAAACACCTGAGAAAAGTCTTAAAGCTACAAAAGGACAAGGAAGGCACTGAAGATAACCCATTTATGGAAGAGAAACTAGCCAGGGAAAGACGGATACACATACATATTTCAGAGATTAAAGAAAACCTCATTCCTTACCTTCTCCCACCCTGTACACACCCCCACTCCACCAGAAAACCTCCTTCTTCCCACTCCTTTTCTGAAGCAAGGAAAAGTTTAGATCATCTCCTAAAATTCTGTTTTCTATATAATTTATTTTCATTACTGTGTAAAAGTAAATTTTAAAGTTTTGGCTATTCAATAGTTATCTTGAATTTTTTCTTCCTTACCGTCATATAATCAACTTCTTCAGGATGCTCAAAAGCAATAAACTCTTCAAGGTTCAAACCAGGGCCTGAATCCTGGTTAGCTTTTTCAAATCGCTTCTTGTCCTTTAAATGAAGCTTTGAAAATTAAATATTGAACATTTAAAGGTTTTCTCATTCATCCCATAATGTCATTAAAAATACTTCGAAAAATACAAGCTATGTGAACTCTACAGTACATTTACACCCATTATCACATTTTATCTTCACATCATCCCTTTGATGGTAAGTTGGGCAAATAAGCATTTACTAGAAGCAGTGCAGCAGCATAGGGAGACTCAGATCTGGATTCCAGCAACGCCACTTACTAACTTGTTACTTAGGGCAAACTGCTTAACTTCTTTGGGCTCCTCAACTATACAAATGGGATAATTTGACACCAAAAACAACAGAAGCAAAAATAAACAAGTGGGACTACATCAAACTAAAAGGCTTCTGCACAGCCAAAGAAATCATCAACAAAATGAAAGCTACTCAATGGGAGAAAATATTTGCAAATCATCTATCTGATAAGGGGCTAATATCCAAAATATATAGAGAACTCGTACAACTCAAAAGAAAAATAAACAGTCCAACTTAAAAAAATGGGCAGGTCTGAATAGATGTTTTCCGAATACATACAGATGGCCAACAGGCACATGAAAAGATGCTCAGCATCATAAATCATCAGGGAAATGCAAATCAAAACCACAGTGAGGTACACCTGACACCTGGATGCTATACAACAAGACAATCCAGCAATTCCACTTCTGGGTATTTATCTAAAGAAAATGAAAATACCAACTCAAAAAGATGTACAAGCCTCCATGTTCACTACAGCATTACTTACAATAGCCAACACATGGAAACAACCTATATCCACTGATGGATAAATGGATAAGAAATTATATATAGCAATTATATAATATATTCCACTATATATATATAGTAGAGCATTACTCAGCCATAAAGAATATAATCTTGCCATTTGAAACAACATGGATATACCTCAAGGGCATTATGCTATGTGAAATAAGTCAGAGAAAGACAAATACTGTATGACCTCTCATATGTAGAATCTAAAAACAAACAAACAAAAACATTCCTCTAAAACCAAGTTCACAGATGGAGAGAATAGACTGGTGGCTGCCAGAAGTGGCTGGTAAGGAAGTGAGAGAAATCAGTGAACTGTTTTTTTTTTTAGTTTAAATAAACTGAACAATTCATAATAAATAAGAAAAAAATCTCTATTAAGCAACTGGGATGAGAACTTCTATCAAGCAATTAGAAAACATATTAGGTATTCAATAAATGTTACATATTACTATTATTCATAGAAAAACTGAGATAAAATGATTTATTGAAAGGGATGTCAGGAAAACATATTGAATAAATATATTGAACTTGGATCCTTCCTGTTCTTTCTACAATACTACACACTATCTTCTTTAACAATCGCAGAAATTTTTTGAATGCCCCCAAAGCAATGAATTTAGATTATCTATTAGTTTCTTGGTGTGCCTATTTCTGTTTCTGGTCTTCAATATGACTTTTCAAAAACACTGTAACAGGTTTCAAAAAATAGTCCTCTTATGAGAATATTTCTGGTAAATATTTGGAAGTCTACTCTCTGTAGGCTCTTTATAGTGCTAATTTTCTAAGTCCAGATAAATACATCAAAAGCTGAAAAGCCCCTATCTTGGGGTTGAGTTAAACAATCACACCATTTTCTACTTGTCATGACCATCTTCCTTTCCTTTCCCCTCAAGTACACTTTGGTGGGAAACCAAGTAGTAGCGACTATTAGAGAAAAAGCTGCTTTTAATCAATTTTCTCAAAGGTAATTCTGTAATTAAGAGCATTGGAAGCCAATAGTGGCATATTGCTAATCCTGCATACATTTTATTTTGAGAAATTCCTAGGAATAATTTTCCTTTTAATAAGCTGATGTGTATTAAACCACACATTTTTTAAAAAGCACAATTTCAAATATTTTAGAAGCTTTTAATTTATGTGTTTCACTGTTGAAAAGAAATGTTCTTTTCAATTTTTTAGAATGCTAGAGGTTAGGTAGCAGTCATTTACTGAAACACTAGTTCTTTTACGATGACTGATTTACAGTGGAGAGGCTCACTTCTTTCCCCAAGGAATTTGTCTTTTAAACACCCAGATTCCACTAGCCAGTTATATTCACCAAATCATGACAGAGGAAAAAAAAATGTTTCCAAATAGTTGCTTTTAACTTAATGTTTCATAATTTTAAATAACTAGACTAAATAATGTACATGCTATGTTCAGGTTTAACATGGGGGAAAGTAGAAAAACAAGAACTGGAGGTACTTAGCTGAGTCAATCAAGTTTTTTGAATAAATCACTATTCAAAATACTAAAGTGCTTAGATTTCCTTATGAAAGAACCCTTCAATCTGGAGCAAAATGGTTCATGTTTCAGCAGAGGGAGCTGAATTTGGCCAAATTTGCCTATGGAAAGAAAGGATCTCTTTCAACAGCTGAGATTTCTTTAAAAAAAAAAAAAAAAAGAAGTACTTCTCTCATTTACATTTCTCAGGTTTTTAAAAAATAATGTGATTTTTTAAAGTTTTATTCATGGTCATTTAAAGAACACAATTTATTAGAGACTCATATTAAAGAAGCTAATACACCAAAAGATTTTTTCCAAAGGGGCAAATTTCTAAAAGATGACCACAAAGGACTGTCAGTTTCATAAAACCTCAACACTTTTTTTCTGTATAAAACCCTTGTGTTCTAGTACACAGAAAATACTATGCACAGTAGTAAAAAGATAGAAACTACCATAGTCATTTATTTTTACATTGTAACAGAAACTTGTGAGGAACAAAACTGCCATCTTTTGGTAGACTAAAGATTTTACATGAGGAAATATATAACCTGTGATAATAGAGCAAAAGTCTAGGTCTTAAAATTCTGATTAGCCACATGCATGATTATATCTTACACAAATAAATCCTGCTTACACATGCACATTCATGTGGCTTTAAAAGTTATAGGAATTGAGCTTTTGCCAGGTAGGTCCTCAAACTTTAATTATCCTGCTTAAAAGTGCTGACTATACTTGTTCATCAGGTCATAAAGAAATACTTTTTTCCGGCATCTCACAGCCTGCAAGTCATTATTCCAGGTTATCTCTATTCTTTATATGAAAACATTAAAAGTAACATATAATTCAGCTATCAAATTGATTTTGTTTTTTAATAGGCTTCCATACAGAAACATTTTATTTGGATATCCAATTACTTTTTATGATTCTTTTATGGTACAATGTTTAGGCTCTAACTTGGATCAAGATCGATGCATTCTTCATCCTTTTATTTTTTATTTTGCAGAATCATGCAGTTGTGTCTGGGTTCATTTTTACATCCCACATCCACTTTTAGTGGGTTATATATGTAAATATATATATATATATGTATAATTCTAACAGAGTATTATAAATAGAATTTCATGTAGAGACATATTCCTATGTTGTGGAAGAATATGCAATAGGATCAACAGGACTCCCATTGAGAAGTGTTCATTTCAGGGACCCATTAATTCCTTTAGGCTATAAGGTCCATTTAATTCATTCTTTAAAAGTACAGTCTTATAATCAACATGTCCTGAGTACCTGGGTGGGAAACACAGCATTAAAATCAGACATATTTTAAAAAAAAAGACTGCTCATAAACAGTTTATGTAACAAGTCATGTATTTCTTTAAAGTGAAGATTTTCTTCTCAATACCATCATCTATTATTACATTCCATCCTCCACCCTCCAAAGAATGTAGATTTTAAAAACCTACACAATTTTCCTACTTTCTGATGAGATAATAATTAATCTTTTGAGTGAAAAAACACAGAATCTACTGCTGCTAAGATTTTAAAATACTGTATTTAACATTTGTATTATTGCCTGGCAAAGAAGTCATAATGTCATACCATGGTTTGGTTTTAGAAAAAATCTTGGAATGTGAACGATGCTTTTAAGATGAGTTAATTCCTACAGTAAAGGAAAATAACTAGCAGACAGACAAATTCTAGATCTCATTATCATCCTTTGTTTTCTTTTTAGCACTAAGTAGTGAAAAGACTTTTCAGTCTGCTGTTAGATGAAGACCCAAATAAGGAGAAAAGGAGGATATTTTCTCCCTATATATTAAATCTTCTCTATTCTAAAGCTGATACATTTAACAAATGCTTAAACAACTTCTAAAAGCTGATTGTTAAGTATTAGAGATAAACATGTGACTCACATGTTTTCTTCAACAATTTTCTTTCAAATTAACATAGAAGGATTTACCAGTTCAATGCTACTCTATTTCTCCATACTATTATCATCTCCATTTTTAGATATGAGGAAGCTGAGGCACAGGAGGTTTAATTTAACCTAAAGGCACATCATTGTCAAGTGGTATTGTGTGCATGCTCAGTCCTGTTTGATGCTTTGCGACCCTTTGGACTGTAGCCTGCCAGTCCATAGGATTTTCCTGGCAAGAATACTGGACTGGGTTTCCATTTTCTCCTCCAGGGGATCTTCCCAACCCAGGGATTGAACTCGCATCTCCTCCAGCTCCTGAATAGCAAGTGGATTCTTTAGCTGATGAGCCATTGAGGAAGCCCTTGCTGAATGTAAAGCCAAGTTGACTGGCCCCAAAGCTGGAGTCCTTAGCCTCCATGCTGGTGGTATAGGCACAGTATATGCATAATCATGTCAACTACAAATTGGCACATGCCATGGAAGAGGATTGGCTCAAGAGGTTAAAGCATCTGCCTGCAATGCAGGAGACCTGGGTTCGATGCCTGGGTCGAGAAGATCCCCTGGAGAAGGAAATGGCAACCCATTCCAGTATTCTTGCCTGGAGAATGCCATGGATGGAGGAGCCTGGTGGGTTACAGTCCACGGGGTCGCAAAGAGTTGGACACGACTGAGCGACTTAACTTTCCCTTTCGCTTTCACGGGTGCTTGCCATCTACCTCTACAAGAATTAAATCGTGTGCTGCTGCAGCTGCTGGCCTCCAATACCCTCTGAAGGAGCTCAGGACGGACAGCAGAAACCAGACACTTTGAGTTCTGGGGAAACTGGCAGGACCGGTCTTCAGATAGTTAGGTATTCTCAGGAGATAAATTTATGAGCCCAATTCTTGTATCTCCTCATCTCTAGAAAAGCACTAAAATCCTTCATGGTTGACAACTGTTTCTCATGACTAGCAGAAGCTTCATAAGACCAGCAGAAACTTTCTAAAAAATAAATGTGCTTGACTGTATGTACTCGCCCTTTACCAAAATCACATATATACTGTCCTTTCCTTTCCCCCTACATCTTTGGAGCAGTTTCTCAGAGCTATCTGAGGTGCTGTCTCAGAGGCTGCAGTCCTCATATTGCCTCAATAAAACTTAACACACAACCCTCAAGTTGTGCACTTTTTTAGTCGACAATCCTTAGCAGAGAAACAACCAATTTTGAGTTAGTGATGACCTACAGAGTTCAAGTGGCCAATATGGTTCTAAAATAAATAGCATATACAATGCTACAATATGGCCACATTAAAAACTAAACTGTAGATACCAACAGAGAAAGCTCAAAAGTCTTCAAAGCACCCTTGACTAATATTTTGGGACACAACCTTTGCAAAAAGTTGTTTATTTTTTCCACATACAAAAACCTCTTTTTTAAAAAAGTCTTTAAACTTACCTCTAAAATTCAAAGTATTCATAGTATCAACCTCTAAGGCTTAGAGTAATTTGTCTTACAGAGTTCCTACTAATTACTAAGTAAAGTTTTTAAAAGTTCCTATTAATTCCTAAATATGTCCTCCTCAACTCTGCTTACGAAGTATATTTCAACAAATCAAACCATGAGACACAACACAACTCACAGTGATACTGAAACTTTAAAAATAAGTTATTTTAAACGGTGCAGCCACTATGGAAGACAGTGTTGCAGTTCCTCAGAAATTTAAAAACAGAATTACTATATATGAACTAGCAATTCCACTTCTGGATGTACACCCAAAAGAATTAAAGGCAGGATCTCAAAGAGATATTTGTACATCCATGTTCATAGCAACATTACTCACAATAGCCAAAAAGATGAAGCAACTCAACTCACCACTGACTGATGGATAACAAAATGTGATATATACATATAATGGAATATTATTGTCTTTAAAAGGAAATTTTGACACATACTATGACCTGGACAAATCAGGAGACTGCTAAATGAAATTAGCTAATCACAAAAAATATACTGTATGATTCCACTTATATGAGGTACCTAGAATACAGTAAGTCTCATTCATATGAACCTTCAAGTTGCAAACTTTCAAAGATGTGAACGTGAGTCTTCATGTCCAATCACTTGAGTTAATTCACATGTCTGGCGTCCATTGTCACACGCATGCATCCTCTCCAAGTGCTTATGCTTTTGTGTACCTTACTGTACAGTACTATACGGAGTACAAGCTTTGAAGGTGGCATTAGTGGTACAGAACCAGTCTGCCAATGCAGAAGATGTAAGAGACACAGGTTCGATCCCTGTGTCGGAATATGGAATATGGAAAGGAGAGAAGGAAATGGCAACCCATTCCAGTATTCTTGCCATGGACAGAGGAGCCTGGCATTGCAAAGTCAGATATGACTGAAGCAACTCAGCATGCATGCAGGCACTGTATAGAATACAGTAGTACAGTCTCCTTATTTCAAGGCCAAGATGTCCAGAGGCAAGCATAAAAACAGCAGTACTGGTACTACTGTACTTTTCAAGGTACTATACTGTAAGATTAAAGCTGTTTTATTTACTTATTTATTTAGTGTGTATTATTTGTGCAAAAAGTATTATAAACCTATTATAATACTGTATAGCTGTTTGTGTTTGTTGAGTACAGGCTAACTTTGTTGGACTTATGAATGCACTTTTGGAATGGAACTCATTCATATGTTGGGGAATTACTGTAGTTGAATTCAGATACACAAAGTAAAGCGGTGATTGCCAGGGGCTGGGGGAAGTGGAAACGGGGAGTTATTTGAGGCTTCCCTGGTGGCTCAGATGGTAGAGAATCTGCTTGCAATGCAGGGGACCTGGGTTCGATCCCTGGGTGGAAAAGATTCCCCTGGAGAAGGGAATGGCAACCCACTCCAGTGTTTCTGCCTGGAGAATTCCATGGGCAGAGAAGGCTGGCAGCCTACAGTCCATTGGGTTGCAAAGAGTCAGACACGACTAAGTGACTAACACTTTAATGGGTTTAGAGTTTCAGTTTTGCAAGATGAAATAAATTCTGGAGACTGATTGCCTGAAAGTGTGAACATAATAATAAAAAAAAATATTGAACTGCACACTTAAAAATAGTAAAATGGTAAATTTTATGTGCATTTTACCACAATTTTTAAAATGTTTAGTTATTTTATATAAACCTAGGTACTTAAAAATGGGAATAGACCTCTATAATCTTCCTAATAAATATGATACAAAACCAACCATTCAATAACACAATAAAATAAAATATTGTGAAACATATCAAAATACACTAAAAAAGCAACCCAGGAAATGAGAACAAATGATGCAGCTAAAAAAAGGATGCAGGGAAAACTGAGGTAGTCCAGAATAAGAGTCCTAAATCTGGCTAGAAAGGAAACATCAAAACGACCACTAAGGTGGAACAGGTGATTGCCTAGAGAACAAGGCAATCCAGTTGATGACCTCAGGCTTCTTGTGCTCACTCATGCAGGAAACTGAACTGATATGATCAAAAGAAAAAGCTCGTGCACACATACTTACCTGCCTAAAAGACTCCTCTTCTGCATCATCCAGAGCAGTGTTCTCATCAAAGTCGATCACCCGATCATACATCTGAATGTTGTATTCATCCCATGACACACTACCATCATTGTTTTTATCATACTCAATAAACTGTTGTTTCGCTTCTTGCATAGCATAATGTTTAAAAGACATTTGAATCCATGAACTGAGTTCACCTATGAGAATTTCCCAGAACACAATGAATGTGACAGTAATTCTGATACTTAAGAGAAGTGAGGATTTCTAAACATTCTTTAAAAGAAAAAAAAAAACTTTAGTGTTTATAAATATTTGAGTGAGAACTGGTTTAGCTGTGTTCATAGAAATAGGAGGCGGCAGCGAGGAGAGCTCTTTGGAATCTAAGAATGTTATGCGTTATCTACCCAGAATGTAAGCCCTTTGAGTATGGAGAGTTTGGTATATTTTGTTCACTCAGGTACTCCAAATAACTAAAAAGCAACGGGCTCAACAACTATTTATTAAATAAACTACCAATTGGCTGAGAAAGCACTTGACTTTTAAAACATATTATCCAAAAAATTACAGATAACTTTTGCTAATTGGGCTTTCCTGATAGCTCAGTTGGTAAAGAATCTGTCTGCAATGCGGGAGACCCTGGTTTGATTCCTGGGTTGGGAAGATCTACTTGAGAAGGGATAGGCGACCCACTCCAGTATTCTTGGGCTTCCCTTGTGGATCAGCTGGTTAAGAATCCACCTGCAATGCAGGAGACCTGGGTTTGATCCCTGGGTTGGGAAGATCCCCTGGAGAGGGAAAAGGCTACCCACTCCAGTATTCTGGCCTGGAGAGTTCCATAGACTGTATAGTGTACGGGGTCACAAAGAGTTGGACACGACTGAGCAACTTTTACTTTGCTAATTATCACAGATCTCTCAGGAAGCACAAATATTTGAATAGCTACCCACTTATTTTAATATGTATTAGAAAAAAGTGTTCTTCATTTACGAAAGTAATATAAAGTTTAAAATACATTTTACATTGAGTTGAATCAAGACTATATTAAGGAAATAATAGATAAGTAAGTATGATCTAAATTCTGAAAAATGCACTCAAGTGACTGAAGTTTGAGAAACATTGTTATAGTATATTACCATTAACTATGTCATAAATCATCTGGAGGAAATTTTAACAAAGTTATGGGTAGCAATTATGATTTATGCCTGTCTTCTAATAGCTATTTGTCTTAACTGGGTATCTGAAAACATAGAAGAAAAGTTTCTAAATCTCAAATGTCCACTTTCAAATCAACTTTCAAAAATCTATCTTAAAATACTTTTAAATATCTATAGAGATATTTAATATATGCATCACAGAAAAAAGGGGATGAGGAGAGAAAAACATACATATTTGTAAGGATAGCAAGAATATCCATTTGGTTTAAAGATAATACATCATTTAGTTTAAAGAATGGTACTCTGTTAGTTTGGGGGAGGTCAGGTGAACAGAGAAAAGTAAAGATACCTTGTCTCTCCTGAAACTTTAAATTGGGATAGAATAATTGTGGTAACCATGGAAAAATTACTTTATACCAAGTCCTCTACAGATGCTGTCTCTAACCCTCAAAACAAGGCAATTATAATCATTGCTTTACAGTTCAGGAAATTGACATTAGAAATTGAGGACTCATAACTGATAAGTAGCAGAGTCCAGATTCAAACCCCATGTTTGGCTTCAAAGCCCAAACTCCTTCCATTGAACTTTGCTGTCTCTCAAGAACCCGAGTCCAATCCTGGCCCTTAACGTGCAAATAAGCAAAACTTCCCGAAGAGTCCTCAAGCAGAATGATTATCCAGGCATAACAAGATACAGAATGGAACAGAGGCCAGAAATAGGGCTTCACACTTCAGCTCTACTGTTAGAGGTAAGTTTACCCTCTCAAGGTTTTGTTTTCTCATCTATTAAATGAAGATTTGGACTAAGTTCCTTTTAATTTTTTAAAAGCTTACTATTAAATATTTGAACATATATAGGCCCTTAGAGATAAATGCCACCAAGTTTTCCAAATCATTTTGTGCACTCTCTAATGTAGCCAAAGATGGACCTATTCTTATTGGATAATTAGTCTAGAAGCTCTGTTGTTCACGTAGAAGGAACAAAACCTTAATATTGGTGACCACACTTGAGGGCACTTCATTGACAACACATCTTGAATTTACCAATCAGCTTGTAATTCTCTCAAGCAACTTCATTCTTCAGATGTTGAGCAGCATTTAAATGAGAGTTATAGCAAAACAGCTCCTGAATTTTTGTTGAGGATCAATTTGGAAAAGTTAACAGGGTTCTTCAAATGAATTAAGCAATGGGGAAAGGCAGGTGCACAGCTATTTATTTAGAATATTCTTTTAATAATCTGTGCATTTCATTCCTGATTCTAGAACCTATCTAAGAGCACTCAGTTTTTATTTTTTTTAAGTGAAGGATATTAAAGGCTGAATTAAGGGCAGGAGATATGGATTCTAATTCTGGCTTTACCACTCATTTGAGCAAGGTACTTATGCCTCTGGGTTTCAGTTTCTTCACCCCTACAAAAAGAGGTGGATATAATGATTCTATGGTTCCTACCAAGTTATAATAATCTGTCATAAACACAATTCACACGCAACAGTTCCTTTTCTACTTGTTTATAAAAAGAAGCAAGTTCTTAAGATTCTAATGAAGCATTTATCAAAAGAGCAATAAACTTAATGCCTTAAGGTTTTAGTTTGTTTCTCCAAAATGAATCACATTGTTGACACTGATAAAAAGTCATATGAGGAGTCGAGAAATTGCTCTAGGTATGACCTCAACACACCATGATGGGCCAATGATGCTTATGTATTATTGAAGAAAGCATTGAGCTTTACTTGGTATCCTACGTCTAAAGATTTCGAGGTATAAAACCTACTCACCATGTCCATTTTCCCCTCTCACATAGCATCTCTAATTGATTGAACACTAGTCATCTACACTCAACAGACACCCTGCTTAAATGTTTGTATTTGTCTCCTACAAAGGGATGTCTCCATTGTTAGTTGTGTAGGACGTCCTTACTTTCGGTGAGAAAGCCATCTGAGTCCAAGTCAATTTTCTTTATGATTGACTTCAGTCTTTTGTGCTGCTCTTCGGGGGAGAGTTTAACATATTCATCGACTTCTTCCTTTGGGAGGTAAGCGATATACAGGGGGGTTCAAGCATTACTATCAGGAGGGCAAAATGGTGGAGAAAAACAGAGCTATTAGAGACCTGCGTTGCCGAGGGCTTTTGGGGTGACCCATATCTGCTCTCCAAGGGCCCTGCCCCCAATGATCCCCCCAGTGATCCTGCCCCTTGCAGGGAGAGTAGAAGGGATCCGGCTCTTGGGCCGCACTATTTTCACGAGCTTACAGACCCCGGGGTCCATCGGAGAGTGAGCGGCGCCCCGCCCGGCCCCCATTGTCAGGCTGCCCCAACCAGGCCTCGCCCGGCCGCCCCCTTTGTCCCGCGGGGACAAAGCCCGCGGCAGCCGCGCTGCGAGGCCCGGCCCTCCCAGCCTCCAGTCTGGCCGTCTCACCTGGCCGCCCAGCAGCGCCTCGCGGTCGTAGTCGGCGCGGTGCTCGCCCTGCCGGTAGTGCAGCTCCTCGGCTTCCCCGGCGCCGGCTGCCGCGGCGCACAGCAGCAGCAGCAGCCCCAGCGTGGCGGGCCTCGGGTCCAGCTGCATCGCGCCGGCCAGCCGCGGACACACAGAGAGGCGAGGAGGGAAGCAGGCGGGGCCCACGCCAGCGGCGGCGCTCGGACGGACGCTGCAGAGAGGCGGCGCGGCGTACGTACGGAGGTGGGAACGGAATGCGGAGAGGGCCGTGGCCTCAGTTCCTAGGGTACCGTAACGCTGAGGCCCGAGCCACAACTGCGATGGTGAAACTGGCCAGGCCGAGGCCTATATATCCCCGGTATGGGGGCGGGGCGGCAGGCTGCGCCGCTGATTGGGTCGCACGGCGCTGGGGGCGGGCCGCGGCGATGTGGCGATCTGCTTCGGGCAGAGAGGCTCCCGGAGACTGGCGATCGCGGCCGGGAGGGGAGACCCCCGGGGGAGCCTTTCCTTGCGCCACGACACCCTCCAGAAGACACGCCCTCACTCCACCCTCGCCCTGTCTCTGTCAGTCAGCCTCATTCCTGCCCGAAGCTCCCTGTCTACTCCATGTAACCGACCCTGCTTCCATCAATGAGCAAGGCTGGAGATTTGGGTGAAAATAATACAGTACCTAGGAAAATCTTTGTATTTCCAAGCCTTTAATGTATCTCTACTTACTTACTTGACCAGAGCAGAACGAATGAACCCGGGTACTGAAGCCAGATGTTTTGTATCTGATGCTCAATTTCGCGATTTACAAGTTCTGTGACCTTCGCAAAGTTTGATGTTGTTTAGTCGCTAAGTCGCTTCCTACTCTTTGCAACCCCATGGACTGTATGTAGCCTGCCAGGTTTCTCTGTCCATGGGATTTTTCCAGGCAAGAATACTGGAGTGGGTTGTCGTGCCCTTCTCCAAGGGGTCATCCCCACCCAGGGTTGGAACCCGCGCCTCCTGCTTTGGAATGTGGATTCTTTACCACTGTCCCTAAGTGAAATGTATAATTCAGTAAATTATGTTTAAGACATAAATTATTCTTTAAGACTAGCATATACTTGGCCTACTTAATATTGCTCTGCAGGAGACCTGAGACTCCTTCTCACAACCGAGTCCCAAACATTCCCTGCCACCTGCCTGGAGAGCTGGCACTCAGGATGAGACTTACCATCCAGGCATTTAAGAAATATTGACACTTTTTATATAGTTATAACTGGACATGGAACAACAGACTGGTTCCAAATAGGAAAAGGAGTTCATCAAGGCTGTATATTGTCACCCTGCTTATTTAACTTATATGTAGAGTACATCATGAGAAACGCTGGGCTGGATGAAGCACAAGCTGGAATCAAGATATGCCGATGATACCACCCTTATGGCAGGAAGCAAAGAACTAAAGAGCCTCTTGATGAAAGTGAAAGAGGAGAGTGAAAAAGTTGGCTTAAAGCTCAACATTCAGAAAACTAATATCATGGCATCTGGTCCCATCACTTCATGGCAAATAGATGGGGAACAATGGAAACAGTGACAGACTTTATTTTTTGAGCTACAAAGTCACTGCAGATGGTGACTGCAGCCATGAAATTAAAAGACACTTGCTTCTTGGAAGAAAAGTTATGACCAACCTGGATAGCATATTAAAAAACAGAGACATTACTTTGCCAACAAATGTCCACCTAGTCAAAGCTATGGTTTTTCCAGTAGTCATGTATGGGTGTGAGAGTTGGACTCTCAAGAAAGCTGAGCACCTAAGAATTGATGCTTTTGAACTGTGGTGTTCGAGAAGACTCTTGAGAGTCCCTTGCACTGCAAGGAGATCCAACCAGTCCATCCTAAAGGAAATCAGTTCTGAATATTCATTGGAAGGACTGATGCTGAAGCTGAAACTCCAATACTTTGGCCACCTCATGCAAAGAACTGACTCATTTGAAAAGACCCTAATGCTGGGAAAGATTGAAGGTGGGAGGAGAAGGGATGACAGAGGATGAGATGGTTGGATGGCGTCACTGACTCAATGGACATGAGTTTGAGTAAATTCCATTAGTTGGTGATGGACAGGGAGACCTGGCATGCTGTAGTCCATGGGGTCACAGAGTCAGACATGACTGAGCGACTGAACTGAACTGAACTTTATATAGTCAAGGTACATGCACATGGGTGTCTGTTTTAAGGCTCATGGTACATGTTCACTATCTTAGGAAACAAAGTTGTAACTTTTTCTTAAAGTATTAGCTATAATTTATTTTTGAGACTTTCAACAGGGAAAGAAAGCCTACTTAACGTCATTTCTGTGTGAAAGTGGTTTATTATTCAAATATTTGTTGGAAGGTTAATATTATGATTTATTTATAGAAATGCATAATAAAGGAAAGAATAATTTTTCTGTACTTTACCAGCGGATAAGCTCATATAAAAAAGAAGAAAATTATTTTGAGGCGTGCTCAGAATATCCAGTTTAAACAAATTCACGAGGCAATTAAAGTAAAAAGATATTTTAGCTAAGTCTTGTCTTGATTTGCATTATAATACTCAACTAAAAATTAAACATTTTTTAGTAAATTAGACATTTCAAATTTAACATATTCTAAATTTACAATAGAATTCTAGAATTCTTAGGACAGTCAAAATCTGCCTAAACTGAGGATTTATAATCATGTGTCACAAGAAAAGCTGAACAATAGTAAATAATGACCTGCTTGCCTGCTAAGTCACTTCAGTGGTGTCCAACTCTTTCCAACCCTATAGGTAGCCCGCCAGGCTCCTCTGTCCATGGGATTCTCCAGGCAAGAATACTGGAGTGGGTTGCCATGCCCTCCTCCTGGGGATCTTCCTGACCCAGGGATGTAAACCACATCTCTTCCATCTCCTGCATTGGCAGGTGGGTTATTTACTACTAGCGCCATCTGGGAAACCCTCAAATGATGACAGCATGATAAATTTTTTGTTACTTGGCCTCTAAAAACCTCTTGACTCATTTATAAAATGGGCAAAATAATAAGACTACTATAGAAGTTTATTATGAAGATTAAATTAATATGCGTTTAGAACAGTAGCTGGCACATATGGTAAAGTGTTCAATAAATGTAAGCTTACATTATATGGGGAGAAAAGCAAAAGTTGGTTGTGCAGAAGGAACAGTTTAGTAAGTACCTAGGAAATTCTTTGCAGGCAGAATGCACGTGGAGGTGGTTTTATTCTACGCCTACCTACAAGGCTCTGTGATTTCTGCCCCTTATCCTAAGTACACTAAACTAAAAGAAATTCATAGGCTGCAGCTTGAGCTTTCTTTCATCAATTGCTCCACTTATGATCAGGCCTTTTCCCACAGAAGAAAAGGCTTTCTGGGTCCTCTTTCACTTCTCACAGTCTCTATGTGGATTGGGTGCCAAGAATTCTGTTCCACACTGAATGGGCACAAATCAGACAAATTTCTTGAGTCAGGTTGGAATTTAATTGTTTTTAATCAGAGACTTCTGGAAAGTGTACAGAATGAAGAGTTCAATGGGATCTTTGGTGTTATATGGGATCTTTCTAGTGTTATAAAGTTCAACATAGAATAAAGTTTTAAGTTTCAGAATGTGAATAGAGGGAACATCTCAGGATTGATTTCTCTAAAACAATTTTGAAAAAGGAAAAGAAAAAACTTTTATTACATTTTCATTTTAGGTTTAGTTCTGGGCTTTGAGGTAGTACATGAAAAAAAAAAAAAAGGAAGAATGTCCTCCACTCAGCTTTGCACATATTGTTCTCCAATAAATACAAGGTAAAATTTGGCCAGCTCCTGATGTGATTCCAATTACAAAATGTAGGATACATGATATTATGGAAGTTCTTTTGAACCCAAGGTCTCCCCAGTTGGAGGCTTTGAGGCAAAAGAAATCTAATGATATCTAAAGAGGAGATAGACTGAACAGCATAAATGTGAACAGCATTAGAAGGTCTGGGTTTTATCTTCCTTCAGCCCCTAAACAGATCCCTTTCCTTTTTTGGCTCTTATTTTTTCATCTGTAGGAAATGATTAGGTTAGCTCAGAGAATCTTAATTTGAGATCTTTGCCTGTTAGGTGGATCCTAAGTGGTATGATAATCACAAAATCCCATGCAAAATTTTGTGCAGAGTAGATTTCTGGAGTGGAGGGCTATAGTTTTGCTTTCATCAGAACCTCAAAAAAAATCTAGGTGGCAGCCCTTGTAGAAGTCTCAAAGCAGCTCTTCATCTCTTAAAATACAGAATTTTATGATCTTGGCAGTTAAGATTGTTAGGAAGCAGATTAAAGACCTACGTTTAAGAGAGGCAAGACTGATCCATTTTCATTACTTGTAATTAATCCATTTTATTTAGTGAAAAATAATATCTAAAATAAGCAGGCTGTCAATAAAAAAGGCATTATGAGAATCCAGAGGTCAACTTTCTTGCCCTATAAAAGCCAGAGTACCTAGCAAATATGTTTGTTTTTTTTAATTTACTTATTTGGCTGCATTGGGTCTTAGTTGTGGCATGCGGGATCTTTGTTGTGTCATGCAAAATACTTTCATTGCTGTGTGTGGGCTCAGTAGTCTCCACTCGCTCGCGGGTTTAGTTGCCCTGCTGCTTGTGGGATCTTAGTTCCCTGATCAGGGATCAAACCCGAGTCCTCTGCATTACAAGGTGGATTCTTAACCACTGGACTACCAGAGAAGTCCCACAAATATGTTTTTATTTTTATTTTTGAGGTATAATTCACAAATCTTTCATGTACAGCTCAATGAATCTATACATATACCAACATGCAAAACCTGCCCAGCACCCTATAAGTCTCCCTCGTATTCCCCAAATATCACCTCTGCCAAACATAGTTACTATTCTGACCTCTGTCATCATAGGTAAATTTTGCCTGCTCTTGAACTTTATGTAGATGGCATCATACAGGATGTAAAACTACTAGTCTTATACCCTTCTGCTTTGTTGGGAAGCAGTATGGTGCCAAGGAAAGAGGACAGACAATTTTTGAATCCAAAGCACAGTGCTTGAATCAGTCTTCATAGCTCACCCACTTTGTTATCTTGAACAAATGACTTAATCTTTTTAAAATTTTGTAAAAAAAAAAATGTAGTAAT